TGTCTAAATTGAATAAAACTATAATAATTATATAATTCAAAATGAAAATGCATAATCTAATTAATATGTGAATATATTATAAAATGTATAATCTAAATTTTATAAAATTATAATAATTATATAGTTYAAAATAAAAATATATAAATGTTACTACTTTTGATCAAATTTGGTCACATACTCATATGCATAGGCGTGCGCAGACTTTTTTCGCAGGGGATGCTAATCACCGGTGTGATCAACAGAATGAGCCCAAACCAAAGACAGAAACGTAACCAGGGCACGTCTGGAGGAGACACACAACTATTGGAAAAAAATACAAATGACGGTCCGTAACCATAGACCTTATACTCAGTATAAGGTCTATATCCGTAACACCGGGTCGCGGTGATATCGTCGGATTCGGGATATAGGTATCCCAACTTCTATTATCAATGGAAATGTATTTGATAAAAATTTAAAAAAAAAAAATAAAATACGTAGCCTGAACTGTCAAAAATTTCTAAACTAATTTCTGTTTATAAAAATGTAAAAAAAAAAAACAAGCTGACTCCGCAGACCGCAGGGGATGCCATGACATACCCAGCATCCCCCCTGCGCACGCCTATGGTCACATACTCATGTCTAAATTTAGTAAACTGATAGTAATAATTGTATGTAGGTATAAAATTAAAATGTATATAAGTAACTACTTTTGATAATATTTTAAATAAGTGAATATAGAAACTTTCAAATTAGACTATACGTTTTAAAATACATATACAATGGAGAAGGGAGGGGGATGAAAAGTGTCCGGCGGAATCGATGTGTAATCGATGAGATATTATAAACATTAGCCGGYGGGATCAATAGCCGGCGGAGTCGATATGTAGATATTATAAACAGTAGCTGGCGGAGTTGATATAAAATCGGCGGAATCGATATATGCCCACACAGACACCYCTACCCTTGTGGAGGTCCTGTCTCCTGTATATCTTTATGAGTTTAATTATCGTATAATTATAATTACCACAGTATAATTTATTTTGTGAGGAGCTTTGTATTACATCATATTTTCAAGTTTTTTGGCCGAGCGATATTTTTTATTCGAATAAGTTTATTATTTTTTAAAAGTCGAAAATGTCATATACCTATAAATACCTCAACACAAACCAAAATATTATTTATTTAGAAAATTGTATGGTGTTTAAACATTCGGTGAAAATTTCAAGTGCTCAGTGCTCACTTTAATTTTCTATTGATTTATATCAATAGGTATCAAAAACCAAAATTGATGTAAGAATTCCCGTTTATTTCTTAATTTTATTTCCGTTTTTCTTGACAATTTTGATAACTACTGGACATTTGTAATCTTGACTATATTCACTTTTAAGTCGAAAAAGATGGTAACAGAAGTTGAAAATCAAAACACTATTTTGACATCTTGTCGTGGGCACAGTCGCACAGACATAGACACACAAAAAATAAAAAATTTAATAAAATAAAATCATAATTAAATTTAAAAAAAATTATTCGAATCTAAAATGGTACTTTTACAAAAAATAAAAAAATGTTTTTCATATTTTATAATTTTTTTATAATTAATTATAAATTTGATTATGAAAGTATAAAATGAGTGTGCCGCGCTAATATGTTCCTAGTACTTACCTAATAARTAATAAAACAAAATCTATACGTCTCGGTTTTTTGCCATTATATCAATGACCTCTTCGCGAGTCACTTCTACGTCATTGTATAAGTTTAATAACATCAATCCATTTAATCGCTCCTCGYCAGTCTTGCTGCGTAGATATGTTTTCAATCTTCGAAGACAAGAAAAAGACCGTTCACTTGTTGCCACAGAAACGGGTAGAGTTACACCAATCTGAAAAAATGTGTGTATTGATGGATACAATGCAGAAGCAGAATTACAATTGTTGAGAGTCTCAATAAATGTTCTAGGCCGTTTATCCTTTGATATATTTAAACAGTGTCTGAAACAACAATGCATTTTAGGTTTTAATATAGATTATAAAAAATATTTTTATGKATAAGAAATTTAATATTTTGTTACCTGTGCAATACGGTCACTCAGCTATAAAATCATCAGTAGATCCCTTTATGTCATTTGGCCATTMTTTTGCAAAAGTATTTACCGTTTCACTGATTTCTTTTGTATTCAGCAAAGAACACTTAGTTGGAAGAATATTTTGAATTGTTGACAATAGTTCTCGGTTTTCAAGAAATCTTATTTTTAGCTGCATTAATAAGTAATCCAAAAAGGATGAATAATGGATCAACGGAAATATTCCTCTGGACCACCTTCATCATAATTTGTCTCGGTTCTTCTGTATTCCAACATTCCGCGGAGGTACTAAATTAATATCCTGTATTTTGTACGCCATTTCTTTTGCTGCTGCATACAAGCTTTTGATTTCAACTCCGAATCACAACGCATTTCATTGATTTCATCATACACGTGATTTGCATAACCGGACTTGGGTGGTGTAATTAAAACAATTAAAACATCTTAAAACAATTTGTCTATACAATCTTAGAAATACAAATAGCTAAAATATTCAATYACTTCCAGAAAATAGAAGTACAAAAAAGACTAAAAGGTTAAAGTAACCTGCACTCTTTTGTATCGTTATAGTGTTTAGGTACCCCGATCATTTAACACATACAGAGTGATTCATGAGGCGTGAGGAATTTTCACGTTTAAATTTTCATTTTTCGTTAATCCGTTAACGAGATATAGTCTCCTACAGTTGGTTGGTTTTGGGGTGGTGTTTGTGTATAAATGTGTTATACCATGTGTAATAAAAAATAAGTAGGGTATGAATGTATAGGGAAGGGGGTAACTGTAATTATTAATTAGACCTTCCAGTATTTTTTGATTACCTTTTCCTATTAGAGGAAGTATTATTGTTGGGGTCGTGAATTACATTACAACTACAAAATTACCTATGAGGAACACAACTGTTCTTCTAAAAAACCTGGCTTATTATGTGTATRAATATAAAATACCTTACAAAAATCACCTTCATCTATGATTGAATTTCAGAACTAAATTGCCAATATTGAGAGAGATTGGGTTGGTAAATAATATAACTTTCTCACGATGTGAAATATTTAGATCCTTCTAAGGCTCTTAATAGATCTGTTGTCCTTRGTATTGGATACTGATCTGTGTCAACTCTTTCATTTAATTATTTATAAGAAATTACGAGCCTATATGAATCCTTTTGTTTTTTCTTAACTAAAAAGGCAGGAGCTGCAAATTTTGAAATTATTGGACGAATTATTCCTGCATTTAGTAATTTATCTAATTACGTTTTTAATTTCAATCAACATTTTTTTATTTGAGTTTTTTGACGATGAAGGAGAACAGCTGTTGTCTGTCGAGCTGTTTGACCAATTTATTAGTTTTTTGGATTTGGAAAATATTGGAAGCATATAGGAGCAGAATGGCCTACCTTATTACATAATTGACATGTAACTGGATTATATTTGTTTTGGTTATTAATATTACTTCGATAATCTTTTTTTATGTGACCGTATTTTAAACAGCCTTCACATTGAGGTTTTATGAAATTATTAAAATATGGCCGAGAGTTATAATTTAAATTGTTTCGAGGGTTATTAAATTTTGTTGAGGTAAATTATTTGTTTTACGTTGTGAGTAATTTGGCTGTCTAGGTGGTGTATARAAAGGGAGATTATTATTATTTCTGTTTCGAAATCTAGGATTATCGTTATTGAGATTTTGTGTTTGAATTTTTGCATTTTCCACATCTTGTTTTACTATTTTTTCATTTAAAATGTTAATTTTGTCATTAAATTGAGTGGTCAATTGATTAAGTTGTTCTTTAAAAATGGATTCTTTTATTTCCGCGAGTGATTGATAAGTTTGGCCCGTTATTATGAATTCTAAGTTTTCATATTTTCTAATGTTATTTTTAAGTTCSTTAATTGTGGAGTTTTCCATTATTCCTATATATCTAGCAATATTTGGTCTAAGCCCTTTCATGACATTTCGTACCATATCAGTTTGTGCCATAAGAGGATCTACGCGTCTGCATAGTGACTCTGCTTCATTGATGTATGCAACTATTTGTTCGTCGCCTAACTGTTTACGTTTTTCTAACATACTACGAATTAAATCTTTTTGGGCTATAGGTTTAAATTAAGTTYGAAAGGTTTTTTCTAATTCTTCCCATTTAGGAATGCCAAWTTTATAAATTTTATTATGCTGTGAGTTTTCGTAAAAAGTTAATGCGGGTCCTTCCAGAATGCTACTATATATTGAGCCTTGTCCTCAGATGTCCACCCATTTATTTTTGCCGCTCTATCATATTTTTTTAGAAAAGAATCTATGTTTTCTGGGGTTGAYCCAGAAAAAGGTTCTGGTATCTGAAAATTATTAAAAATTTATATAGCTTTAGAACAGCATGTATCTAAAATTTTGAAAAAAGTAAATAGTTTTTTATGAATAATGAGTGTTTTACGCCTCATGAATCACTCTGTATGTGTTAAATGATCGGGATACCTCGACACTATAACGATACAAAAGAGTGCAGGTTATCTACATTTTTTAAGCATGCTCGCCCCATTTTTATGCTTAAATTATGCATATATTCAAATTCTGATTTTTGGAATATTTAAGTGTAGTTAAAGGCGATATTTTTGAGTACTTAGATTTTTCACAACTTTTAAGGAGTATCCTGTA